CAGGGTCGCTATGAGTCGGAACCGACTCCACGGCACATAACAACAACAACAACAAAATATACAGTAGCCAAAACAATGCACTTGCACTTGCCAGAGATTGTCAAGATGGTTCAGGACTCGGCAATATTTTGTTTAGTTGAACATGAGGTCCCCATGAGGCAAAGTCAACTCAACAACAGTGATGACAACAAAGATAAGTGTGGAAAAGAATGAAATAAACACAATAGAAAGGATCAAAAAGAACCAATTCCTAAGTAAACATAACATACGAAACAAAGTGTTAATTGGAAGGTTGGTGGTTCCTATCTACCCGGAGTTGGAATCTACATTCAAATCAGTCATTGAAAAGCCTACAGAGCCCAATTCTACTCTGATATACATGAGTCACCAGGAGCCAGAATCAACTCAAAAGAAATGAAAAAGTATATATGTGTATATAACTGGTGGGGCGTTTAGGTGTGGACTGCTAACCATACGGCTGGAGTTTAAGCCCACCAGCAGCTCTTTGGAAACCTAATATAGTGTTACTATGAGTCGGAACCGATTCGATGGCACTTAACAGCACTAAAGGACTAGAAGTTTCCTTGATGAATTCTATATACCACAACAAATATAATTTTCTTCTCTCAGAACTGCCCCCTGCTCACACAGAAAGCACAGAGATGTCATTATTAAAGAATCTTCCCACTACCACTTGACCTGTATCTATAACCATCTTCTCTGGTTTTCCTAGTGTTACAAGAGGAAGTGGCTTTCCTGACTATCAAAAGACTATCCCCTGTCCACTCTAGATTCTATTCCTCCTTTACCTTCTCAAACTCTTTTACATATCTCATCTTTGTATTATAATATCAATTTCTCCTGCCCCATTTGGGGCTAGGGTATGAGAGAAAGAGGAATATTTTTTATTTAAATAGCTTTGAGACCCATCTTCAGCCTATAACTGATTAGAATACCTAAAAGGGGTTCTAGAACATCCACAGTGAAATAGGCTTCTTGTGGAGCCTTTGTAGTATATAGGACTTTAGGTGGAATCCTGAGTCCCATCCAGAAACTTCTGAGGTAGAACATTCCCACTTGAAAGGACATATAGACTAGCCTGGAGCAATGAGAGGAATAGAAGATATTTCTTGAAATAAAGACCGGCAGGAAAAGTCAAAAACAAAAATGGCAGTTTGACTGGCTATTACAAGAACAAGCAAGTTGTTCCCCAGGGAGCCATCAAGGCAAGTCATCAAGTCCCTTCAAGACAAACCACACTCCATGACTAAAACTCAAAGGGAACACATGAGCAGTCATGTAAGCTTGCTGGCAACCACATTGGTCTACTGATGAGTGGAAGAGGGGGAAAGGCAGCAATGAAGATATAGGCTGAGTTCAACCATGTTCCATAGACTCCTGTCAACCTGGAGATGAGAAAGAGAAGAGGATGGGCTGGTTGGTCCAAAGTGTGGTGAGACCTGAGGACATCTGAGCCCATGGAGAGTGACATAGCCACAGAGGGCTAGAGCTGAGAGTAAAGCATCCAGCTGATATGAAGTGAGGGGAGAGGCACAAGAATGCCCAAACTTGCAGACCCATTTGACCTAGCTTTGATGGCTGGATGAACAGCACTCGAAGAGAGGAAGATAAAGAAATTTGATAAAGGAAACAGGTATAAATTGCTACAATTTGATGAGCTTGACCTTTATCTATGGATGCAGTAGCTCAAAATACCAACCAAGAGGGCAGGAGTCTTCACAACAAGGATCAAACATATCTCCTCTGTACACAGGGTTGATAGGGATGGGCAACTTAGACAGTGGCTACCTAAAATGGGGGACTATAAAGGCACAAAGTGGCTGGTTTACAAGTTTTCAAGAGGAAGTTTAGTTTTAGAGTGCAGGGGAAGATAGAATCCCCACTGAATAGTTTTCATCTTGTCTAGACGGGTCTGGTGAAAGGAGATGGGGATAAGATTCTTATGATTCAATAGTGAGTAATTGTTATCATGACTAATTACGACTGTCACAACTGTAAAGGTATAAGTTTTGTAACATAAAGGGGGAAGTAGTTAATCTTACATTTCATGAACACAGGACCCTAAGACCATCAAGGGCGAAAAGCACAAGCAGAATGTGGGACTCTATCCAGAGAAGCAGTGACACCAGAGATGGAGGCAGAGCTGAGGACATGGAGTGATAGAGCAGCTGAGGACCCTACACTCATGGAAAGAGAAAGGCTGTGTGCTGATGGCCAGGAGGCATGCTTGCAGAATGTACTTTTGGGTTGTTTAAATGATTATATATTCCTGAGTGTTTCTGTGTACATCAAAAAACAAAATCCCCAGAGGGAACAGAAGCAAATACCATGAATGGTGATGCATGGAGGTGATTGTAATCATTGCAATGAAATGATGAGTGTAAAACTGATGTTCTCCCATGTAAACATTACTCAATTTACAATAAGAGCTTAAAAAAAAACCTAGAGCAGAGTTACCTTAAAATATTTCAAATATTCTGTTCCATCCTTGACCTGTTACTTGAAATAGATGCCAGTTTCCTGATTCTTTTTCACTCACCTGTATATGGGGCTCTTGAAAATTCTCTCACCATCACCCATGGTCTTTTTCCATCCTCCAAATGAGATATCATATCTGGCTTGGAAACGACAAGTCCTGTTCATATAAAAAATAAACAGATTTAATGATAGCTATGAGGAAAACCCATTTCAAAATTCAGTCTCAGTTTTAAATTTTCTTATTTAATTCTTATAATGAGTGGTCATTATAAGAAGTTATCTGTAGTATTCACAGGTGGCTACTTAAGTTTAAATTAAAACTAGAAAAATTTTTTAATTTTGCTCCTCTGTTATACTACAGTTCAAGTGCTATGTAGCTACAAGTGGCTGCCATATTGGACACTGCAGATATATAGCATTCCCAAGATAGCAGAATGCTATGATGCAGTGGTGGTCTAGAGAATTATAAAAGTATCCTGGGATTGGTAGAATAGTAGATCATTGGGAAAATATTAATTTAGAGAGAAAATAAATCCGTTTGTAGAGGCTGGTAATAACTTCCACTTATAGAAGCTGGTCCTAAATCTGGGGGACTGTCACTAATCTCTAAGATTCCAGTGAAATATGTATGTCTTACTCTTCAATGAAGGAGCTCTGGTAGCGTAGTGGTTACGAATTGGGCTGCGAACCTTAAGGTCAGCAGTTCGAAACTACCAGCTACTTCGCGGGTGAAAGATGAGGCTTTCTGCTCCTGTCAAGATTTACAGCCTTGGAAACCCTGTACAGGGTCGCTATGGGTTGGAATCGACTCGACGGCACTTAACAACAACAACTCTTCAACGAGCAGAGGTTTTTCAGTTGAGAGTAAAGAATATCATAACTCCCAACAGTATGCCCTAAGATTACAAGATTTTGAAGCCTAACTCTGACCCAAAATTCAGTTAAGTATTTTAGAGACTCTACCTCGATGGCACTGCAGGATAATGTGCTGGACTGCAAGGTCAGTTTGAACCACAAGGCTGGCAATTCAAATCTACCAGCCGCTCCTCAGAAACACTACACAGGGTTGCTATGGGTTGGAACCAACTCAACAGCACTTAGCTACAAATCTCTATGGCACTTAACAACAAACCACAACATTATCTTCAGAAAATACGGGCAAGTGGGCATATAGAGAAACAGAAGAGAAGTTACCCTTACCCAGGGAAACGAGATTCCTGTAATTCTCTAGCATTACATCCTTGTGCAGGTTTCTCTGTGTAGGATCCATCAGCCGCCACTCCTCCCATGTAAAGTCGACAGCCACATCCTTAAATGTCACTGTTTCCTAAAATAAATACATATTGTGATCACCCAGGGATGATGGCATATTCCACTAATGTAAACTACTCTCACCAAAACCAAAACTTGAATATATCAAGACTTCAGATATAACAACTCAATGTGAATGCAGACAACCTGACAGAGGCATGATGTCAAATCACTCCATGGGGTGCAATTAGTAATATCCAGCCAGTGGGGAAATTTAAAGCAATGCTTTCCAATAGAAATATTAAAAAGTCACATTTAAAATCTCCTAGTAGCCACATTTTGATCAGTCTTCTTTAAATCAAACAATAGTTCAGCTTAATTAGTAAAGAATATCTGCCTTGAGCATCGTGCTGTTTAGTAGTAAATTATCTCTATGAAATCAAACTGAAAACAGCAACTCAGAAGGCTAAATGAGATACTTAGAGAGCACAGGATTTATGTCAATGATGGGGGAATAATGTGGTAAAGGATAGCATGTTTCTACAACTTGAAGAATATAATCAATGTGGCTAAACTGTACATGTAGAAATCACCGGTCTACATTTTGCTGTGTATATTTATTTTAACCAAAAAAAGTTTTAAACATAGATAAAATTCATTTTAATGATATAATTATAATGTGGTGGTGGCTGTATGCCGTGGAGTCGGTTCTGACTCATAGTGACCCTGAACAGGGTTTCCAAGGCTGTAAATCTTTACTGGAGCAGAATGCCTCATCTTTCTCCCGTGGAACAGCTGGTAGTTTTGAACTGCTGACCTTGCAGTTTGCAGCCCGATTCATTACCACTACGCTACCAGAGCTCCTTAATTATAATGTAGTCAGTATAAAAATTGTTGATATTTTACACCTACTTTTTTTCACACCACATCTTTGAAATCCAATGTACATTTTTAATTGAGCGATCATCTTAACTTGGACACCACAGGTCCTCAAGAGCCACATGTGACTAGTGACTACTGGCAGTTCCCTGGATTCGAATGAGAGCTGATCCGTTCCTGTGTCTTTGCAATGCAGTGAATTACTTAGTAAGACTCTTCTAGTGATAGTCTTTGGAATTGCCACCTAATGACTGGGTGGGACTATGTGCTATGCAAATGATAATGTTGTTGAATGCTGTGGAGTCGGCTCTAATAGTGACCCTGTATAGGTTTTCTGAGGAGCAGCTGGTGAGCTTGAACTGCCAACCCTGAGGGTCAAACCAACCTTGCAGTCCAATGTATATAGCTTGCTAGTAATGTAAAAGAGGTACATGGCACTCTTGTGGGAGGTGTATGGAACTGTAACCAGGGGATTGGTCAGTTTTGCCATTCTGCTAGGCTTCACTACCACCAAGAAGAGCTAGGAGCAAAGTCTGTGCTTTGGACCGGGGGTCCCTGTGCTGAGAGCCTTCTAGATTCAAATGGCAGAAAGAAGAGCTGTAACACAGGAGACGGTACCAGATGGCAAACAGTGGTGGCCGAGAAGCTGTGGCAGCAGAGGCAGAACTAGGAATCTGGCAGGAGATGCCTTTGGGCAGGAGGCTTGCTGGTAGAACAGGGTGCCTCCAGGCACCTGTTGGTGGAGATCAACCATTTTATATCACTTACTTGAGCAGGGCAGAGCATGAGGGCCCAGAGAGGCATGCCTGCAGACATGGCTAACAAGGAGCTGTCCTGACCAAAGAACTATATTCTGAATTGCTTCCAATTCTGCATGGTAACTTGTTACTTCTGAATAAACCCTTCATAGTGAGTCCTATCTGTGAGGTCTGTGTGGCTATTGTAATGAATTACTGAATCCAGCAGAACGGGTAAAAAGGATGGAGAGTGGAGGAATGCATGGCCTCTGTCTCACAGGACTCAGCCTTGGGAGGTTGATGCTGCTAATGATCCTCCTCCCCGCCTGTGCACTTAGAGCAGCTCAGACACTTTCCCTCTATTTTTACAGTCCTTAAGAATTTGTCAGTAAGTCAGTCAGAATACGTGCATACAGTTCTTATTTAGCCTTAGTTTATTGTAAGAAAATGATTTAAAAGCTACACAGTGCAGTTAATGAAGGTATTTGTGATGGAGAATTTATTTCAAGTAAGGATGCTTCTGTCATTTCAAAGTGAGGACAGATTTACACAGTGTTAAAGGGCAAGTCGGAATTGTCCATTATGTCCAGATGCCCATAACCTGGGGACTGCCTGTACTGTATTGAACAAAAGCACAAATGATCTCATACTTTTAGTGTCTTGTGAAAAAAGAGCAAATGATCTTGTTTCTTCAATAAATACATATAAGAACATGGAAAAAAGGGAAGGGGGACCTCTACATTAAGTGACCCATAGAAATATTATACAATTATAACACATAATTCAGTGGGGAAACAAACAACCACCTGTTATTTGATGATATGAATGTTTACCAATCATTATACTTAAAAATAATCAGTTAGAGCTATATAGTGAATTATTTATAAATGAAATAAAATGATATCTTGGATTTGTTTCAAAATAATTAGGGAGGATGGGGCTACCGAGGAATGATGCTTGTCTGTGGCGTTGTAGCACTGAACTGCTAACTAAAAAGTCGGTGGTTCAGACCTACCAGCTGCTCCTCTGAAACGCAACACAGGGTCACTATGAGTTGGAACTGACTCAGTGGCACTTAACAATATAAATGCACAATTGTTCAAGGTGGGCAATAGGTACACAGGGATTCATCATATATTCTCCCTACTTTTGTATGTTGTTGTGTGTCGTCAAATCGGTTCTGACTCATAGCAACCTTGTAGAGGGTTTCCAAGACTGGCTGCTGGGTTTGATCTGCTGACCTTGCCATTAACAGTTCGGGGCTTATCCTACGTCACCATACCATAGCTTATTGTATGTTGGAGTCCCTGGGTATTCCAAGTGGTTAATGTTCTCACCTATTAACCAAAAGGCTGACAGAACTGTGCACCTACAGGTGCCTTGAGGTAAGGGCTGGCAATCTACTTACATGAACTTGGTCCCTGAGAACCCTATGAAGTACAGTTCTACTCTGACACACACGGAGTCATCATGAGTCGGAGCTGACTTGATGGCAACTGGTTTGTTATATGCTAGGTACCGTGGTTATCATATATTAATTGATCAAATTCTCAAAACGACCCTGGTGGTGGTATGCCATGGAGTCGGTTCCGACTCCTAGCGACCCTGTACAGGGTTTTCGAGGCTGTAAATCTTTACAGGAGCAGAAAGCCTCATCTTTTTCCTGCGGAACAGCTGGTAGTTTCAAACTGCTGACCTTGCGGTTCACAACCCGACTCGTAACCACTACGCTACCAGAGCTCCTTCAAAATGACCCTATGGGATAGGAAAAGAAAAGTGAGATGGCTTGCCCAGGTTCACAAAAGTAGCAGGAGATGGAGTCAGGATTGAAACCTAGGCAGTCAAGTTCCAGAATTCATGCTTGTAACACTATACTCTATGACTTAGTGAACTAAATGAACTGAACGAACTAAGTGAAAAACCATAATTAATCAGGCAAAGGTCTCGAGTTAGATCAAATATGACAATGCTTGGTTCTGTATCAAAGGAAACAGATTTCCTCTAGGCTGCTTGTCTGATGTCAGACATGTACACTTGTCAAACTGTTTAAACATCCTTGTTTATTATGACATAAAACGTTGTGAACTATGTTTTAGATGATTCTGTAAATAAAACTTGGATGGTGTAGGAGATAATTATAGTTCATAAAATCTGTTATTACTTCAGATGTAATTCTAATTAAAAGAAATGTAACTGGACCAAGCCAACGCTCAGACTCCTCGTTAGTTATTAGATAAGAAGCACCTGAGAGTTAAGTAGTTTCCCTGTGAAGACTTGAGATCGATAGGATAGAGAACATGTTTGCCGCCTTTCATCCTAAGCAGAGAAACCACAAACTCAGTCCTAGATAACGACTGAAGATTCAAGTGACAAAGAAGATACAGACTCTATCTTTGAGAGACTCACTGCTTGTTCAAGGAGACAGATTATCCCTCGGGGGGAAATGGATATAAGATACAGAGATAAAGAGGGCAGAGTTAATTAATGTACATGTAATTAGTGTTCTGTATTACCTCAAATTTCAAACAGCTGATAAGCTTAGTAATGGAGCTTCCAACTGAGGAACTGACATCATATTGTGGACATACATACTTTGTGGTAATGTGTTCCAGGGTAGCCCCTCTTCTGTTCTATAGGAAGTAGGTAGTCAAGGGCTCCCCAGATTTAGAGAATAATCCCTAAGGTTTAGGACAGGAGGTGGTCACATCTCAGGGATGACTAAGAGCTGAAATGCTCTACATAAGCAGCCCCAGTGTCACGACAAGCATCGTGCCAAGTGCTTAACCAGAATCTGTCCTCAAACACCTTTTCCTGCCAAAGTTCCCAACTCAGGCATCAGGTAGTTTCTGTTCCGTGGGAACTGCTCTTGGGTGACCATGAATTCAGTGGAGGAAGCAAGCTTGGCTTTTCAGACATCTCTGTGCTGACTACACTACTTTCATAGAAGTATGGGCTCCCTGCTGTACAAACTGAGAACGTGAGAGCTTGGGGTTTTATCAAGGTGAAGAAGGGGTCAGAGGTAGGGAAACAAGGCAGTTTCCTGGAGATGGATAAAGCACTTTGAAAGATAGAGGAGAAATACTGTAGATAGTCAAAGGGAGTGGACAAAAGTTTGGAACTTCCTGTTGTAAAGTGCTGTTGAGTCAGTTCTGACTCATAGCAACCCTGCATAGAATTTCTGAGGAGCAGCTGTTGAGTTTGAACTGCAGACCTTGTGGTTGGAACCAACCTTTCAGTCCAGTGCATTATCCCACAGTACCACATCAGGACTCCTGCTTGGAACTGTGGTGGTTGGTGATGTGCTGTGGAGTTGGTTTTGACTCATAGAGACCCTGTGCAGGGTTTCCCAGGATATAAATCTTTGTAGGAGCAGAAAGCCTATCTTTCTCCCACGGAACTACTGGTAGTTTCAAACTACTGACTGTGAGATTAGCAGCCCGACTCATAACCATTACATTAC